GAACTGATGGAGTAAATGGTAAGCGAGGAAGCTGTCTTGAGGGAAGGCACAGGGGAAGGGACAGAGCATTCAAATGCAGCAAAGCTGAAGACCATATAGTCCATAATTAATACAAGCCTCTATGTGTTCATTTGGGTCTGAGCAGCTGCAGGACCATGAGGCCACAGGAGCCAGGTGGGACCAAAAAAAGTTCAGCTACGTATGTCCATGCATGTGAAGACCAGAGACCAAAGCTGGGTGCCTTTAACTACCACTTTCCATCTTACTTTGTGAACCTGGTGCTCCCTGATTAGTTAGTTCCAGGGACCCTCCTGTTTGTACCCCTCCTCGGCACTGGGCTTTTGGACATATACCACTGGGGCAGGCTTTTACATGAGTACGGGAGATCCAAACACTAGTGCTCATGCTTGTAGGACAAGCATTTTTACTGACTGTGTCATTTTCCCAGCCCGTTTGAATTTCTGAATACAGAGTATAAAATGAGAGTATGAACCACCATAAAGCCACCCACCAGGAATCAGATGTTAATCACAGTTCAAGATGGACCTTTAAATGGTAAAATACTAAACAACAGATTATTAAATGAGTCGCTAGGACACAGGATTGGTTTTCTACCATGTTAAAGTAACATTTTTTAATATCACACACAGAGTTAGTAATCTATGAAGTCATAAAAATATAATAAGTAAAGCTTATCTGACCTGATCAAAGTTTTTGCTATATTCTCTCATTAGCCTTTGTGAGAAAAAGAAGTAAAGTGTCATTCAATGAATTGATAATGACAGTTCTGTGGCTAACTAAAATCGTGCTAATCAGTCCAACAGCACAGCATGTGATCTGTGTGCTCATCCATATCACATGCTTACCAATTGGCAGAGAACATGAGACTCAAAACAATAAGAACTATACCAGTGCTGAAAACCACATATAAAATAAATAACTAGCTAAATTCACTTTAAGGGCTGAGACTGACAAATGTGAAATGTAAACATCATGACCACTGAGTTCGTCACCTGGGCAAGTACGTACCTCTTTAAGAGAGAGAGCCTGGGGACTGACAGGTAAAAACTGGACCTTACACTGCATAGGGCTGATAAAGAAGTCTGGTCCAGAGCTCTCCGAGGGTCAGTAGAACATATGGCCAGAAAGAAAAGTTCCAGGGCTCAGTGAAGACAAGCTGAAGGCTGTGGCTGTGGGCTGCCCTCAACCTTGATGGCATGCATAGGTGATCTGCAAAGGAGCTTGGTCTTTGCTTGGGACTGTCTGCTCCTGGCCCAGAGTCAGGAGATGCTGAAAAGGGAGAGTTCCTTATGTCCACAAGTGAATCTTGTGGACAGCGCTGACCAGCGCTGACCAGCACCCTCAGTAAACTTCAGAACTGACTATGACTGCTCCGTCTACCTTCCTCATCTTACATCATACTGCTAAGTAGGAAACACATAGCTGAGAGAATTCTGGGAAATGCTCCTCCAACCAACTTAGCACATTTCCCACCACATGGTCACAGCCCCATCCTTAAAAATCCTATACTCATACACATTTCTTTAACCTTGTATTCCTTTTCAATAAGGAGCCAAACTCCCACGCAGATGGGGTAGGGGTGGGAGGTAAGAGCATGTACTATTGTAATTCTTGCAGAGAACCCCTCTTCCATTTCCAGCACTCACATTGGGTGACTTCTAACTGCTTTGTCCTGCTGTAGACTCTGCAGATACCTGTGCTCTCATGCACACAGAGACACACACTCATATGCACAGAATTAAAATGGAGTAAATCTTTTTAAAAAGGTAAACACATGCTTCTAGTTAACATAACTATCCTTCATAAAAATGAAAATATGCAAACTCTCTCACCAAAAAAATCAATAGCAAAATGTTGCTTTATCCATCCTTGAGTAGCTATTGGGTAGTCTTTTTGTCTTCTGACTGAATGCCCCTTTAAATATCCTATAAATTACTTAGGTATAATTTTAATCAATATTAATACAATTTTGTAGAGGGGAGTAGAGGGGAGAAAAGAATTGGTCAATAAATAATAGATTTGTATGTTACTCTATAGGAGTAAATAATAAAAACTATATTAATGAATATGGATGTTCCCAATTATATTACAACTATTAAAAAATTATGCTATATTCCATGTTGTAATATTTATTTAAGGTATAATTATAATTATTTGTTTATAAATCTATTTTCCCACTGGATTGTGAGCTTCTCTTTTGTGACAGATACTATATATTGTCCACTGCTGTATCCATAGCAACCAGCACAATGTCTGTCATGTGCTCAATAAATATCTGATGAGCCCTGGATTTCTATAATTTTATCATTAGTTAGGTATAACATTACTATGATGTTTCTCAAGGAATAAAATACTCCTGACAGACAGATTTTAGATATTTGGCGATCAGCATAAAACAGAAAACATACGGGATAAAGGCCAGGACCGTGGACATCTGAGACAGAAACACTGACATGCTCATATTCTATGATCTGGGATCCCTATGTATCAGCCTTCAAAAAACATGGACTTCCAAGAGACAAAGGAGAGGAGGGAGGAAAGAAAGCAGATTCTATTCTTTGGATAGATCCCATCAAGCACTAATAATATCCAGGTCATCACACTGAGTGACCTTGGAAATTTTACCTAACTTGTCTGAGCTTCAGATTCATCTACTTCAGTAAGAAACAGAGCCAGAGATTTTCTATGTACAGTCTGCGTTTCTACTTCACTCTGCTGTTGGAGCCACCTTCAGACTGAGCCAGAATGTTACAGGTCTGACCACCGAAGTCACCAACCCTTACTTGGTTTGGAAAGAATTCCTTGGTCAGATTATCATCAGACTCCGTCAGTTCTAGGGCAAAAAAGGATGACTGGACTGAATCTCTATCCATTCCAATGTGCCATATCCCACTACAGGATAAAGTTTCATGACATCCATAAGCACTGAGGAAGGGAGGGGCTATGTGCATTGTAACACGCAGAAACAAGATAATCAAAACACCTTAAACCTCTGAAGAGGAGGTGCTACAGCACTCTACCTCTGGCTCTAAATGTCCTGGAACAGGTTATGAAGAGGGCAGAGGTAGAGTCAATGATATGCTAGTTAGTGAACGGCTACTGAAGATGGTCTAAGAAGAGCCCTAACATACAGATCCTGTTGCATATGAACTTAATGTATGAGATTTTCAGAGATTATATCCCTGGTGCCTCCCAAGAACTCAATTAAGTCAGAACGGTAATCCCCTTTAAAGAGGAGAGGAGAGACTTGACTGACTTTCTCAGTACTGTGACTATAATTTTTACCAAGCATTGCCAGAGAAGCAAACAATTTTTCAGTCCATTTAAAATCCTTCAGGATGAACAAACATAACAAGAGATTCTGTGTGTCATTTATTTCATCCACGACCCTACCCTCTTCCTAGAAACAGTCTCCTAAACCTAAGATTTTCTTCTGTTGGTCATCAGCCCACCTCCTCACTAGCTGTAGTCCCTGAATGTTATATACAGATGTGGATGATGAGGTTTCATAATACACTAGTGTGGGTTTAGTTTTGGGGGTTTTCCTTAAGTGAAAAATGGAATTGTCACCTTGCTTAGTTTTTAAGAATAAATAGGTTATGATGCCTGATTATGGGATGATGACTAACTCTTATCTATTCGAACTTAAGTTTTTAAGGGCCTGGGTGGCCCAACTCATCTTTAACCCCAGTCAATTTTGAAATAATTAGACTTCCAGTCCTTTTACTCACTTGATATTACAATGAAATAGAGATGTGGTGAGGCTGTGTCTGTGTGTTTCCTGTAATGGTAACAAAACACATGAGATTACTTGAAAAGCAGAAAGGTCTATTCTGGTGCACAATTTTGGAGATTGCAGTCTGTGGCCTGTCACCCCTAATATTTTTAGGCCTATGACAAAGCAGTCATCATGACAAGGGAATGTACATTAGAGTAAATTGCTCTCTTCACGGTGACCAGGAAATAGAAAGACAAATAAGAAACCAGTCTCCCATAGGCACCTAAGAACATATCCACAATGCCCAGAAACCTCCCAATAGGCACTTTGCAAAGCACCAAGCTGAGAATGAAGCCCCAACGCATGGAACTTTGGGAAATGCTCCAACTTTATTACTGTCTGCGCATGTCCAAGGCATGCATGCCTCTGAACACCATATTCACTTTAGAAAGTAATGTTTAGTTAAATTTTAGTCACAGTTTATTAATTTATGTCTTTATAAGAATGCTCTGTTATCCGGTAAGGGCCTCACCATCTCTCCAAAGCTAGAATATTCTGTTAGCTACGAAGAACTTCAGGGACATAATATAAGTCTACATTAAAAACTATGCTCGCCGGGCGGTGGTGGCGCACACCTTTAATCCCAGCACTCGGGAGGCAGAGCCAGGTGGATCTCTGTGAGTTCGAGGCCAGCCTGGGCTACCAAGTGAGTTCCAGGAAAAGGCGCAAAGCTACACAGAGAAACCCTGTCTCGAAAAACCAAAAAAAAAAAAAAAAAAAAAAAAAAAAAAAAAAAAAAAACTATGCTCAATTCTTAAGCACTCTTTGCTTTCAAGTTTTTAGAATCTCATCTGTTGCAAAACAGAGTATGTAGAAGGCACTAAAAATGCTTTCTGTGGAGAAAGGACAAAACATTTTAACAACAGATGGGTAATGAGAAGACCTAAGCAGAGTCAGAAATGGTGTAAAAGAAACAAGAAAGAAGGAAAGGGGAAGTCTCAAGCTTGCTAAAGCAGACAGGATGCACGGAACAGAAAAAGAAATAGTCAGATAGCATTCTGGAATGGATGGGAATTAAATAAGGGCTTGAGTTTCTTCCAGGTCTCAAATTCCATGGCTTATAACTGTGTCGTTCTAAAATGTTTGGTAAATGAATTCTCTTCAGACCCAGCGTGTTTTCCATGAAGAAAGGCTGCAAGCGTTTGCAGACTTATTCCCAGGCTCCCGCGGAGAAAGGCAAAACTCCCTTTCTGGACCTTACCTGAGCTGGAGCCCATGGTCCCTTTCTTCATGACAAGTTGACAGACCAAGGATGCACAGGCACTCACAGAAGGATACACTGACATACTTCAAAGCCTGTTGAAGTTCTGGCCCTCTGAGACCAGCATAGAAATGCAAAGCATCCCAGACTCCTCCGCTCCAAATCTCTCCCAGTGAGAAAAGGGCATAAAATATTACACACTTCAAACCCTCAGTGTTGTAAACTTCTGTTTCACAAAATCTGTTCACAAATGTGTCCTTCAACAGGAAGCGCTCACCATGAATCTTTCTTCAAGGCAGTGCACATTTTAATGAATGCTAACATGTTTGCAAACATAATGAAAATGCTATTTCCCACAGAGCACTGTGAGGTTATTTGAATAAAATATGTGCCTTTGGACATGAGTGTCTGCCGATGATCACGGTCAGATCTGTGCTTTATTTGTGGATTAGGAGCTGCAGCGGAGTGTGGACATGTGCTTTATGAGAACTGGCTGTGGAAAGCCCTCACCCGCTGACATCTGTCCAGATTGCCACTGGTTCTAAATCTCTGCATCTGAATTTGAGAATCTGAAACTTTGGCAGAGCAAAAGAGCCGTGTCTCTAAACGGGAAAGTCTCATGAGGTGATGAAATTCAGTACCAGAATTTCCACTATTTTATCATTGTAGTCCAGAGATTGACACAGAAAGACCACAATGGAAATGGCTGTATCACCGGACCCCAACGTGCTGGAAAATGGTGGCATTTCAATCACCATGGAGCTACTAACCCCTGCGGAGGATCAGCGCTGGTCTCCTAGGCATTCCTCTTGATTGGATGACACCTTCTTCCCTCTCAGAAGCAGGTTCTGGGTTCCAGGTTTCTCTGATGCTATACAAGGCTGTGCGTTTGCTCAATGCATAGAGAAATATGAGCACACGCTCCTTATAAAAACTGCTTCGAATAGGAGTCCACGTTTCTCTCCAAATCTCTCGCATTTTAAACACCCTTTATTAACTTCTGTATGCAGTTGGGGGCCCAGATCTTCTTTACATAATTATTTAATGTCCTTTATAACATGGCCCTGACCTACACATACCTACAAGTAAGAACTACACAGTAAGGAGAGTAAGAGAGCTGGTTTGGCACACTGAAGCTTCCAAAAAGCAGAGCAATTCAGAAATCCTAATAATTTAACACTGTAGAATCTCTACCCATCAAATGAAGTCCATTTGGCCAGAGTGTTGCCACAGATGGCTGCTGGGCTCCACTCAATCCGGGAATCCAGGATAACAGAGTTATCTTCCATTCATAGTTCCCAGAGTCACTCTGGGTGTCAGCATCCAGCCAGCAGGTCACAGGAGAGAAGTTGTGAGACAGGACTCCCAGGGAGTACGCTTCTCTTGCCCACATCTCATTGGCCAATACTTAGTGACATAGTCAAAGCTGAAGGAGACACTGGGAAGTATTGTCCAACTACATGGATCTTTATGTAGCTTTAATGGATCTCAACCCGGACCTTGCTGCATGTGGTACAAAGTGTTGGGGCAAGATGGATTTGATCAAGGATACATGAAAATTCGCCGGGCGGTGGTGGCACATGCCTTTAATCCCAGCACTCAGGAGGCAGAGCCAGGCGGATCTCTGTGAGTTCGAGGCCAGCCTGGGCTACCAAGTGAGTTCGAGGAAAAACGCGCAAAGCTACACAGAGAAACCCTGTCTCGAAAAACCAAAAAAAAAAGAAAAAGAAAATTAGTAACAAGTAACATTAATAAGCCTTATGATGAATATTAAATTCTGAATATTATCAACTAATCTTTTGGTTATCCAAAGTAGAATAAATTGGAATACAGTGATAACACAATACTCAATACACACATTCAGAGCCAGGATGCTGTCTATGTTGCTATTCACTGTAACCAAACAATACCACTTCCGGAAAGTGAATAGTCTAACAAAAATAGCTTTGGGGCTGGTAAGATGGCTTAGCAGATAAGAATGCATTCTGTTCTTACAGAATATCTGAGTTTGGTTCCCAGCACCTGTGCTGGGCAGCTCATAACTGCCTGTAACCCCGGGGAATCGGATGCCTCTAGCTTCTAGGGGCACCTGCACTAATGTGTGCATGCCTACAAACAGAAACACACACTCTCATGCACATATAATTAAACATAAAATTATAAAAATACTTGTAAAATATTACAAAGCCATCAAAAATGAAATAATAAAAATAAAACAAATCACTTCTCAAATTTGGATTTATTTATTTTATGTGTGTAGGTGTTTTGCTTACATGTATATCTATACCCTGCATGCTTGGTGATTATTGAGGTCAGAAAAAGGCATCAGATCCGAAGTTACAGATGGCTGTGAGCCACTGTGTAAGTACTGGGAATGGAACCTGAGTTCTCTGTCAGAGCAGCAAGTGTTCCAAACTACCACACCATGTCTCCAGCCCACCCCCAATAAATTAAAGAAACATCCACTTCAGGCTCAAATTTAGAGAGCCGTAGCTCTGCCTCTTACAGGTCAAGGAAACTTTGTTCCACTGAGCAAGCCAACCTCTCTGTCCGAGGGGAGAAATATACTGCTCCACTCTATGTCTCAGAGGCTGTTATAGCTCCTAGAAAGGGGCTTGGAACCAAGAGTCACTCCAAGCCCACAAGTTGTTCAGAGTGTACAGGAAAGTCACTAACCCATCACCTTCTGAAAGGACAGGCAGCCTGAGATCAAACTCTGGAGTCAGGGTCCATGTGTGAATGAGACTTTGCCAATAGATACCATGTTACAGGCAACATAGTCTGACTTTCTCTGTAACTCAGTTTCCTGGGCTGGAAATGTGAGGTAACCATCCTCTTGTCACACCGCTGCTAGATGTAGCAAAAGGACTAACGTAAGTCAAAGCAAGTAGACATGGAAAAGGAGTCCAAGAGTGAGCACTCAGTAGTTGTTAGCTATGATGAGGACATGCACTTGAGTTCACAGAAGCCAAAGGCAAATCGTGGTTAGAGTTGCCCCAGCTGAAGGTCAAGTACTCATCAGTATCTTTGGCATGCTTCCCATCCTGTTAGATTACCATCACCACTGAAAGTGAACACTCTCCTTTATTCATTGATATCCAAGATTGTAAAACGAAAACTAAGTTTCATAGAGAACTTACTGTTGTCTACATAATTTGTATATGTTTATCCATTGATACAAAGGAAAGTTAGAGTATTTTCTGGAAGAATCTTGTTAGATATTAGAGCGTTAATTTGGAGAAAGAGATCTTGTGTTAGAACTGATGCAGTTTTCAAAGGATGGGTATTGTGATTTCCTACACTTTTGGAACATCTTTGCATCCCTACAGATACTTGGCAGTATCTCACTAAACTTCACTAGTGTGATTGGATGGGTGGATGCATGGACAGGCAGTAATCTGATTGCTAAACTATAGTGCTACATTTGCCTTCCCAAACTGAGGTAGCAGTAAGTTTCATCCCAATAGATCCCATTTTTAAAACCCTAAAATCCTTGAAATGTTATCAACTCAAGAACCAAACAGAGTGAGTAGAATTAGCAAGGAGGAGGCTATTCCAAAATAATGTCATTTTTTTTCTTCTTTACTTTCTTGACTCCCTGATGATGAAGCAGGCACTTGGTTGCTTAGCACACCTATCTGTTGAATATTCACATTGATGGTGGGGGTAGTGATGCAGAAAATATACAACATCAGATAATCCAAAGTCATTTATATTTGGCTCAGGGATGCTTTGCATAATAATTTTGCAGCTGATTGATCCCCCTGGGTTTGTTTGTGCTGATACTAAAGCAATTTTCATTTTGAGAAAATACTAACAGAAAATAATGGGGTGCAATGGCTAAATGTATACATAAGCAGTTCACTCATTTATTCCTTCCGCAGATCCTTAGTGGCAGCTTACCTGTAAACAAGCACTGTGATGGGCACTAAGAATGGGAAAGAGAAATGAGCTGTTTGGAGTCGCTGTCCCAGAGGGACTCATGAAGATATGTAATTAAGACTTAGCTAAATGTCATGTTATTCTTCTTGTGCTCTCCATTTCTCTTGCCATATACCCAAAATAACATGTGATTTAATTTACAGCTTACTGTATTTATTCCTAGGTAGAATTCATAAGATACATATATAGTTCTACTACAGTCTAAGATTGGTTTAAATGAATACGTGTGTGTGTGTGTGTGTGTGTGTGTGTGTAAATTCATTTAGACTTGACCAAAATAGGAAACTATAAATAATAACATTCTTCTCTTTCTCTTTATGGGTGAATGGTTCACCTAAAGGGACATATCTGGGATTTTAACACAGGCAGTCTGGCCCTTGGATCTGTGTTCTTAACCAACACAGTCTGCTTCCCTCTTTAATCAAAATATCAAATTATATGACATCTAAAGAATATCAGTAAAGGATATTGAGAGGAAAAAAATAGATTTCTATGTCATACATACAAAATTAGATTCCACTCATTAGACTGCCAAATATAAGGTATTTAAAAAGAATATCCCAAATGAACTTTAAAGAAAGTAATAAGCCACAGAAAGAAGACATTTACAAAATACATTCCTGAGAAGTAATTAGTAGAATCTAACAGGACAGTGAATCAATGATTCAAAGAAATTCAAATGATTACAACTTTGAAATAATGTTCAGTTTCACTAGCAAATGAAAATACTCATCATATGTAGTCTGGATGTGGCGGAAAATGTACTCTCATGGGTGAATATTAGATACAGAAAGGGGTAGAACTCTTTGAAGACTAATTTAGCAAGACCTTCTAAAAGTATGTATTCTCTTCTATCCATCTCTATTACTCTTGAAAGGGATTCTGCTATGACAGCCTGTGTCCTTCAAGACTTGTGCGATGGAAACATGTCCCTAATGCAACAATGTTTGGAGGTAATGCCTACCCAGAGGTCACTTGACCATGAAGGGAGATTGAAGGGACCAGCTGCTATTGCAAAGATGGGCTAGTGGTCTTGTATGTAGGTTCTCAATAAAGTCATATTGGCCTTTTTCTCTCTCTTGCCCACACAATGCTTTCTGCCATGTTGTGACAGAGGAAAGGGGCCTTCCAGAATAAACTTCTTCGTCTTGAACTTCTGAGTCTCCAGAATGATATGACAAATT